ATACCACACGAATAGTATGGGGAGAAACAGGGAGAGGAAGACCATTTACCAGGATAGGCTCTTCCAGTGGTTTAGGGGTGAGGGGACAATGGCCTGATTTAGGATGGGGGAGTGAAGTGGGAGCAAGAGAAGAATTTGAATGATGTGAAGGTTCCAACACTGGTGACTGGGGGAAGGTGCTGCCACTGATCAGGGCTGGGGGTACAGTGGGAAGTCTGTGGGGAAGAGCCCAAATCTATGCACGGCACGAGTTTGGGGAGATGGGAACATCCGGATGGAGTGTTAGAGAAAAGTCACTGGAGCTAGGAGGAGACACCTATGTGGGCCGCGGTGCTAGAGGCTAGTACCCGGGGGAAGGCAATTCCCCCCTAGACCTCCTCTCTGACCTTCCTGCTCTTTCCATATCTTTCTTGAAACTTGACTCCTCCTTTTCCTTGATTCTTTACCCATTCCCTCTTTTTCCATCCCAACAGTGATTAGAATTCGGTGAATACTCTAGCCCACACATTCTCAAAGACAACTGTAATTTGAACCAATCTCAGCAAAACCCACAGAAGCCAGAGATTGGGGTCACCTTTGAGGCTGATCTAGAATCAGGCTTGTCTCTGGCCTTCCACATTGTAGGGGAGGGATGAGGTGGGATGCTAGGTTACCAGGACAACCTCCTCTGTGCTGTCTCTGAGCAGCTCCTCCTTTCATCCCTCCTAGTCTTGCTGGAACGAGTATCTGACAACTCGGATCGAGCAGAACCTTGTGCTGAACTGCACCTGCCCCATTGCCGACTGCCCGGCCCAGCCCACCGGAGCCTTCATTCGTGCCATCGTCTCCACGCCAGAGGTCATCTCCAAGGTACTTCTTCTTGTCTGAGGGCTCCAGAGCAGAGCCAAAGGGGCAGGCCCAGGGAGTGGGCTGAGTTTTGTGTACTGGAGGCCTGGAGGTGTGGCATCCCGGGGAGCCATGCCCTCACCTCGTGGCACCTATGGCCCCACAGTATGAGAAGGCACTCCTGCGAGGCTACGTGGAGAGCTGCTCTAACCTGACCTGGTGCACCAACCCCCAGGGCTGTGACCGCATTCTGTGCCGCCAGGGCCTGGGCTGCGGGACCACCTGCTCCAAGTGTGGCTGGGCCTCCTGTTTCAGCTGTAGCTTCCCTGAGGTGGGTGTCTACCGTGCCATGACCCTGAACAAGGATTCATACTCCTTCCCTGCTCAGCACCCCTCCCTGCCACACATACACAGACTAACGTGTCCTTTCCTCAGCCTCTGCCACCCAGGTGAGATCTGGTCCTCCTCCTGGAGTCTTCCAAATGGACCTGGGTCTTCGCCCCGTCTCCCATGCACCCAGCAGTGCCACCCAGTTGGGCTCAGCTCTGTCCTCACCACCCCCCTTTGCCACAGGCACACTACCCTGCTAGCTGCAGCCACATGTCTCAGTGGGTTGACGACGGTGGCTACTACGATGGCATGAGCATGGAGGCACAGAGCAAGCACCTGGCCAAGCTCATCTCCAAGCGCTGCCCCAGCTGTCAGGCTCCCATCGAGAAGAACGAGGGATGCCTGCAGTAAGGAGGGGGTCCTATGTGGAGTCAGAAGGCAGGGGAGAGGGAGGGAGGCTGGGCAGAAGGCAGGGGTAACAGGGCTTCTCCTAAAGTTTGGCAAACAGGGGAAGTCCCTCAACTACTGGTGGCTTCCCTGCTTTCCAGTCTACACTGTATGAGGGAATTCAAAAGCAAGGGTGCATTCAGTAGGGCTGGGTGTGATTAAGAGACTATCAGAGCAGAGGGAGAGAACGGAGGGCAGGGCATGAGCAGTGGAGTGTCCAGGCTGTTGGCATTCCTTGCACGCCCCTGCCCAGAGGCAGGAGTCCCCTGACCCACTTGCTTCCTCCATAGCATGACCTGTGCCAAATGTAACCATGGATTCTGCTGGCGCTGCCTCAAGTCCTGGAAGCCAAATCACAAAGACTACTACAACTGCTCTGCCATGGTAAGGGGCTGGGCACCAGGGAGGGCAGAGACCCGAGGCCCAGAGCAGAGGCCTGTGTGCCGAGCAGCCTCGTAGCTGTTGAGGGGGAGGACAGAGCCATCTAGGCCAACAGGTGCTGGGAAGCCGGTTCACGGGGGCCCTTCAGCCGCAGAGCAGGCCTTCTCACACCAAAGGGGCTATAGAAAGGCTGGATGCTGGGCCTTTTGGGGAGGCGCCAGACAGAGTGAAGAGCAAGGACTCTGGGTCAGCCTGGCTCCACTGCCTAGGGCACAGCTTCAGGCAAGTCAGTTTACTCCTCCAAGCCTTGACAGCCTCTGTACAAGGGATTAATATGATCTGCTCACACAGCATGAGGAGTCAATGAAAATAATCTGAAGTGTAGAAGGGCCTCGTGAATGGTGGCTGTCCTAGTCAGTAACTCCATCCTGTCCAAACCAAGCACCTTGTAACCCTCCCACGTGTCCTCGCCAGGTAAGCAAAGCAGCACGCCAGGAGAAGCGGTTTCAAGACTACAATGAGAGATGTACATTCCACCACCAGGCCCGGGTGAGCCAGGGGAGCCGTGGGAGATGTCTGGTAGGGGCCAAAGGTCCCAACTGGACCGGGTGCTGGGAGCTAGGGCTCCACGTGCTGATCTACCTTCCCCGGCACAGGAGTTTGCTGTGAACTTGCGGAACCGGGTGTCTGCCATCCACGAGGTGCCCTCGCCCAAATCTTTCACATTCCTCAGTGATGCCTGCCGGGGGCTAGAGCAGGCTCGGAAGGTTGTAGCGGGTGAGGGAAGAGGGTGGGGGTGTGCCAAGGGCGTCTGGTGGGTTCAGTTGCCCTCACCTGACTTGCCTGGATGAAGGGGATGAGAAGGCCGGCCAGGAGCTGACTAGGGGCTCCTCTAGGTGCTGGCCTATGCCTGTGTGTACAGCTTCTACAGCCAGGACGCCGAGTCCATGGATGTGGTGGAGCAGCAGACGGAGACCCTGGAGCTGCACACCAACGCCCTGCAGATCCTCCTGGGTGAGCCCACCCACCCTGCTGCCTCTGTCCCACTGCGCTGAGCCTCCCATCCCCCACAGACAGGTCGACAGTGCCTCCGCCTCCCTCTGCCCTTGTCCTCTTCTTCATTCTCCATAGCCTTCTCAGCGCCTGGCTCTTAAAGTTCAGGGCTAGAGCCTGTGTTGTCAGGTGCCTGAGAACACAGATGTTCGCCCGAGTTCTTGGATTCTGGTCTGTACCCTGGCCCTACAACGGTGCCTTCACCAGAATGAGTGTCTAGAGCCGTGCCTGGCGCTTGGTAGATGTTCCATAGGTGTCTGTTGAAGGAAGGAACAGATGAGAGTGAGAAGGGAGGGAGCCTCTGTGCCTGCCCCCTCTGCAGAGGAGACCCTGCTGCGCTGCAGAGACCTGGCCTCCTCCCTGCGCCTCCTGCGGGCCGAGTGTCTCAGCGCAGGCATGGAGCTGCTCCAGCGGATCCAGGAGAGGCTGCTTGCTATCCTGCAGCATTCTACCCAGGTACGTCCCCAGCCCTGGCGCTTCTTCCCCAACATGGTGGGTCCAGAAGGAAAGGCAGTGAGGGGTGGATGGATGTCAGGATACCTGGGCCAGCCTGCTGGGTGCTGGCAGACCTGTCTCCAAACCTCCTGGGCTTTCCTATAGAATAAAGGGTGCTGGTGCTACACACAAGGACATTTGGTCCAGTGCCCATCAGAATCACTTAGGGATCTCTTCCACTCTGTACTTCCCATGTGTGGATTTACAGTCTGAGGAGTGGGGCCCTGGGGATAGGATTACTGGTAAGGGATCTCCCAGGTTTCTTCCAACTCTAATATGCTGATGTTGAGTCATCTGTGAATCCTGCCCTCGGGTTGCTTGGGCAGAAAAGACATGCACAGACCGTAAGCTCCTTAAGCACAAGGTGGTGCACCTCACTGTCCTGTCCCGTAGCCCTGGAAACCAATCTGTGAGTTGAAGTACACAAAGACAGTGGTTTGTGAAGTGCTGTGGTGAGAGGAGGTGAATCCTGGCCCCCAGTGTCAGCTAAAGGAATGCTAGCTACAGATGCCTAGTGTCCTCTATTCTCCTTGCCCCAAACCCTTCCATTGGCTTGCCAGGATTTCCGGGTTGGTCTCCAGAGTCCATCAGTAGAGGCCCGGGAGGCAAAGGCATCCAACATGCCCAGCAATCAGTAAGTAGTGTGGGTAGTCACGGAGGCAGCAGTGGGCACTGTCGGGCTTCCTCTGGGCTGACTGGGCTCTCCCTAGGCCCCCGGGCTCCTCGGGACTGGAGGTGGATGAGGAGGAAGGGGAGGAAGACGAGGAGGACGATGTGCCCGAGTGGCAGCAGGATGAATTTGATGAAGAGCTGGACAATGACAGCTTCTCCTATGACGAGGAGTCCGAGAACCTGGACCAAGAGACTTTCTTTTTTGGTGACGAGGAGTACGACGATGAGTCCTACGACTAAGGGGCAGGGTGCAGGAGCCACCCCCGTCATGGACTGTAGGCCGGGAGCTTCCCCTTCCCACTGGTGTGGAGAGGGGTTCCCAGTGTCTGTAGCCCCTCCTTAGTCTATTTGTTCAATAAACGTCTTTTTTCACGTACTTCTTGGTAGCAGGCTGGGCATTTCCCCACAGCCTGCCAGCTTTGGTTCCCCTGGCCCCCCTCACTCAGCCCCTCATCCTGTAGTTTTCTTTAGACCTTTAGACCTCCAGACTCTGCTACCCTCAGAGAAGGCTCAGCGCAGACCCATCTGACCTAAGCTGACAAAGGGACATGACTGGTACAGGCCAGGTGCAGGCCCACCCCAGCCCCCATGAGTAGCCTTCCTCCAAACTTTTGAATGTTCCTGGGGAGGGACTTGAGGACATAGGGAAGTGCCTTCCTCTTGGCCTACAGACTTTCAGAGGGTCTCTACATCTTGAAGTGGGGTAGGAAGGGATATTACTGCAGACTTGCCCCACCCCACCACACAGACACAAAGCCAGCATTTTAAATATGCCTTTTAATCTACTGGGGCTGAGAGACAAGAATGGTACTAGAGCAGTGTCTGGGATCGAAAAGTTAATCAAGTGGGATCCAGTCAAGCACTTGGGTCAGGGGAGAGAACCTCTTGCTCAGGAAGATCATCCTCAAAGTACTGACCCAGCAGGGCCTCCACCTCTCCCTCTTCGTAGTCCCACACCTGGAACCGAGTGCCATCTGCTGCTCCCCCGATCATGGCAGAAAGCACTGGAAAGGGTGGGGAATGGTGAGGCTGCTACCCTCCACATCCCCACGCCACTCCCTTTTCCGCTTCCTTCCTGTTCCTGCTGGGGGTAAGCACTGTGCTCAGAGCCCTGAAGGAAGGAGCCGAGGGTTGGATCCACAGAAAGCCAGGGAGGAGGGAATGGCCATCTCGGGCTCAGGTTGCTCATCTCGGCCAGTCTGGGGGCGGAACAGGCACAGGATTCGCTTATTGAGGGCCACAGCCCGGCCCAGCTCATAACCTACACCCAAGGATGGCTGTGTCACTTCTGCCACTACCACTGTGAAGAAAGATGAGACTAAGACTTGTTATCTGGAGCTCTTGATCTTGTAGGGATGACAGAGTGTGGCTGTAGTGAGGAGGGCACTCTGGGTGTGGAGGCCAGGGATGTCCAGGGGACTCTGACATCCCAGAGGAATTTGCTGGTAGGCGGGAGGGCCACTTACCATCTGCCTGCTGCAGCCATGCCAAGTCCCACTCATGGATGAGCCTGTCACCCCCAGGAGCCTCTTCCCCTGTGGTTGAGGGAAAGCTGGTCCAGTACATGCCCCACGCTGGTTCTGATAACTCCTGTGTCCTAGCATAATGTATCCACACTGCTCAGGGCCCTTGTACTAGGGAGGGAGACTTGTACTAGTGACCTCAAGGGCCAGCCCAACACTAGATCTCATCAAAAGGAGGAAATGGAACAGCCACAAGAAAAATTCAACCTTGTGCGAGTGGGATGTATGTTTAGGGCCAAATGAGAACACCAGGACTAACTCACTCACTACACATGGGAGTGGCTAGGGGAAGGTGTGGCCCCCCCCCCAGTGCATCCCCAGTGGCCTCACCCGAGCGCCCAGCTCTGCAGCCGCCACGTGCTCGGTTCGGGCACTTGGCCAAAGGTAGGAGAGGCTTTCTGGGGCCAGAGGGGAAGGATCCTGGGTTCCAGCCTAATAAATGTTAGCCTCTAGGATGGGGAGGCAGACAGCTGCCACCTCAGAGCAAAACCACTGGGGAGCTTGTAAAAAACACAGATTCCAGCTGGGTGTGGTGCCTCACACCTGTAATCCCAGCATTGAGAGGCAGAGGCGAGAAGACTGCCTGAGCTCAGGTTTTCGAGACCAGCTTGAGCAGCATGGCGAGACCTTGTCTTTACAATAAATTAAAAAATTAGCCAGGCGTTGTGGCGCATGCATGTGGTTCCAGCTACTTGGAAGGCTGAGGCAGACAGATCGCCTGAGCCCTGCAGGTAGAGGCTGCAGTGGCCATGAGTACACGTGCCACTGCACTCCAGCCTGGGCAAGTGAGACTCCAACTCAAAGAAAAAGCAAATACAGATTCCAAGGCTTTATCCCCACTAACTTGAATTCAAATGTCATTGAGAGCATTTTAAAAAGCTCTCAATGACATTTGAAAACATGAAGTTTGAGAAACACCAGGCAGTGGTGGACATTAATGAAACTAACAAACCTTAAGTTTCAGGGTCCTTCACTTGCCCAGGCCTTTCCAACTCCTCAGCAATTTTGTTTTGTGTTGTTTATTTATTTAGTCTGGGGTGTGCAGAGTCAACAGTGGTTCTCTCCCCATCCAGTTTTTTATCTTTTTAAAGAGGTTTCCCACATTGCATTAGATCCCACAAATCATGGATCTGCCCTTGTGTTGGGAGAGGGAAGACCACCTAAAGCTTTCTGAGCAGAAAAGCACGAGAGTTCTGGGCACTATTTTCAAACTGCCAAGGGCCCGCGGAATTCTCAACCAACGCATCGCAGCTGTCTGTGCCTCAGAAAAATCCAGCAGCCAGGAGCAGAACACAATAGTAACGGCCTGAACAGAGGACGTGAAAGAGGGGGCCCCTTCGCCAGAACTCGGGTGGGAGAGGGCTGATACCTTGACAAAAAGGGAGGCAGGAGGAAACGCTCCGTTTGGGTGGGGAAGATTCCAGCGAGCGAGTGGGGACCTGAGTCCGAGCGAAGGAGCCCGATCCACTTTTTTCTGCTCGGGCCCACCAACGCCCTGACAGGAGCGACACACAGTTCCCCAAGAAGGGACCAAAGGCAACAGCCGAAAACAGAACCAGCTCCCACCCGTAGGCGTGCCGGGACGCACGCGCCCACCCCGGGCTTTTCCCTTCTGGGGTGGGGGCGCTGGGTGGAGCAGTCCGGCAGGCGGGCGGCCCCGGGTGCGGGGATGCGGATGCGGTGGAG